CTGTTGGACACTTACTGAAACATCATATATATGATTTGACATAAGGCTAAACAACCCATTAACATTTGGATTAAGACATTTTAGTATAATTTACATCCTAAATCACAAAGAAGATATCTTAAAATTTCTATTAAAACTGTGCATCTCAAAGAAATTCTCATCTCAAGTAAATATTCTGACATTAAAATTAGAGTTGACTCTTCAACAATAGAGGGGCTAGGTTTCCAAATTCCCATGCAGTCAAAAATCCAAGTATATCTATTTTTTTAAAGGAGTTATTTATTTATTTAATTCCATTTGCTATCTTTTTTTTGTTTTGTTTTGTTAATTTGACCAGAGAGAGAGAGAAAAAAAAGGAAAGTGAGAAAGCAAGCCGCCAGGTCTGGGACTCAAACCACAGTCGGCCATGTAGGAATCCAGCACCTTTAACCACCACGCCACCTGCTGGACCCCCAAGTGTACCTTTCTTTTTTAAATGTTTCTTTCATAAGGGTGAGGGGTAGGGGACAAGTACCTTCGAGAGGGTCTTGCCATACCACAATCCTTCCCCAGCATCTTAGTCAAACAAGGATCACGAGGGCGCACTCAGGTTGAGCCAGGATCTGAATCCAGACTTCCCATGTGGCTCTAGAATTGTGTGATAGTGTCCTACGTCACTGCAGCTGGGTTCACATATAAAGTTCAACTCTCCCAAAACTGAACTACTAACAGCCTGCTAATGACTGGAAACCAATAATGTAAGCAGTTAACCCATAGTTTTTGAGTTATATTCCTATATTATTATATTCCTATATATATATTATATACTGTACTCCTACAATACAGTGAACTACAGAAAAGGTTACTAAGAAAATCATAAGGAGTTCAATTGTGATGGTACATGCAAAAGACACTACTGCACAATACTAGAGTCACATGGGGTTTGGATCCTGGTATGAACATTCCAGGTGTGCCCATGCTCACCCAGGATACTGACTGGCTGGGAAGTAGGGGGAAATTGCTGCAAGGTAAGACTTTGTTAGGGGTTTTCTTAACTCCCTTTCTGCCTCTCATGAAAAAAAAAAATAATAAGCCAATGAACAAAAGGATTAAAATAACCTAAAACAAAGTATGTTTACAGTGCTTACTATATTTTCCAATGTTTATTGGAAAAAAAATTGTTAAGTACACTGATCTAGTTCAAATCTGTGCTCTCTATATATGTATCATCTTACTATGTTCATAAAACCATTGAATTCTGTACTTTCACATAAAAAGTTTTACTTAGAAACACACAAACAAGTATACATAAGTTGAGAAGTTAGGAAGACAAAATAGGTTGCACATTAGTCATTTCTTAAAATTGCTCTAGGACTGGCCCCACAGAGCAGTGGTTAAACTCTGTGCATAGGGAGCCAAATCACATGTGGCTGACTGCAGTTTAAATTATGGCCCCAGTGGCTTGAAAACCACACCAGGCGTGGGAACCAGCAGTTAGCGTAATGGCTATGTCGCTGGACTCCCACGTAGTCGACCGCGGTTCGCGTCCCGGACCCAGTGGCTTAAAACTCACGCCGGGCGCATGTGAGTGCGTGTCCAAGATCCCGAGAGGAGAATGGAGGAGAAGGGATTGCGGCGTGACCAACCACCCTGGGGGGTGATTTCTCGCTTTCTGTCTCTATGTCTCTCTCTGTCTGTCTGGTGAGCACGCGTGCCCTGTAGCAAAAACCTCTCCAAAAAAAAAAAAAAAAAACCCACATCAGGCGTGTGTGTTTCCCAAATCCTGACAGAATGAAGAAAGGGAGGAAAAAAAGATTACAGTGTGACCAAGTTCCATTACGGGGGTTCTTGCTCTCATTCTGACAACCAAAAAAAAAGTTTAAAACAATACAGGTATGGGTGAGCCCCATGGCCGAGTGGTTGAAGGAGTCAGATTCAACACAGCCATTCACAGTTTGAATCCCAACCCCGGTGGCCTAAAAACATGTTAGGCATGTGTGTGTTTGTGTCCAAAAATCCCAACAGGGGGCCAGCGGTGATTAAGGTGCTTGACACACATGGCTGTCTACAGCTCGAGTACTGAACATGGGGCCTGAAAATCACACTGGGCTCACAAAGAGGTGTGGTATGATCTGTTGAAGGTATTTCGTAGTTTTAACAACAGTACTAGGGAGAAATGTTCGCCTGTTTAAATATCCATTTTGTAAGACAAATAATAACGTGACTGAATGTATGGAAGAAAATGAAATGAAAAAAATAATAAATGATAAAAAAAATAAAAAAAAAAAAATCACACTGGGCTCATGTGTGTCTGTGCGTACCCAAAATCCCAAGAGAAGAATGGAGAAGGGATCGTGGTGTGGCCATTTCCCCTGGGAATGATTTCTCACTTTCATTCTCTTTGTCTCTTGTCTCTCTCCAGAAAGCACATGTGCCCTATGGCCAACCCCCCCCCCAAAAAAAAAAAATCCCAACAGGATAAAAAAACTGGAGAAAGAATAGTGACATGAAGACACCTCATGGAGGGTTCTCTCTCCCTTTCCCTCTTCCTCTCTTTCTTCCCCCTCTCTGCCTCTCTCTGGTAAGGGCATGCACTCTTTGGCAAATAAAAAAATACTGTTATTGAATTAGTGGTTAGCAGGTACAGAGGTTCAGTGTTTCAAGATGAAGTTCTAGAGATATATATTTCAGAGCAATGTGGATCTAGCTAACACTACTAAATTGTATACCTAAAAATAATTAAGATGCTAAATTAGTATAGTTATTTTACCATAATTATAAAAACTAAAACTAAAATACTATATTATTGGTTAACACGCTTTATATAATAAATTAAGAAAGAACTAAAATTAGTATGATAAAACAAAATCACATATGGCTGAAATATAGATTTTTGCCTATGCAAATTATTTCCTTCAAAAACATAACAAAAATAGGTTGAAATTACATTTCACCATGTGTTTTCTTCTACATTTCCGCTAGCCATTGCATTTACTATTTAGAAAAGCAAGACTGAGAAGCTTACTGTCAATGTCTTTTATCCTAAAAATTAGGAATAAAATGAAATAATTGGACATGTTTCTCTCAATAATTGAACACAGGAGATGATTATTACACAACAGCCATAAAGTTAAACTTTTCAATTTAAGCCCATCACTTCTTAGACTCTTCCATTTTAAAAAAGGTATATATGGCATGCCTACAGTTTCATCATAGCAGTCCTAAACTACCACAAGCTAACGCAAGGACTTCAAAATGTTATGGTCCATTTAACCAAATGATCCAGAACATACCTGCCCCAAGAAGAAAACACACGGATGTCAATTAAAAAAAAATATGCAGTCAGTTTTGTAAAAGTGTGATATGTGGACAACTAGTCATAATAAACATCCGGTGGTACATCAAGACACAGCTTTAATTTTAGTTAATGTAAATTCTTTTGGGGGGGGGAGGGGGGAAGGTTTTTGTTACAGGGAGTGTGCGCTCGCCAGACAGACAGAGAGAGACAAAGAGACAGAAAGCGAGAAATCACCCTCCAGGGGGGATGGCCACACCGTAATCCCTTCTCCTCCATTCTCCTCTCGGGATCTTGGGCACGCACTCACACACACCCAGCATGAGTTTTAAGCCACCGGATCTGGGACACGAACCATGGTCGACTACATGGGAGTCCAGCAACATAGCCATTACGCTAACTGCTGGTCCCAGTTAATGTAAATTCATTTTTATAGCCAGCCTATTATGACAAATGATACTGAATCTCCATCTAGGGTAATAAGTTTAATATTGAAATAAATCTGATAGAAACCAGCAAACGGTGTAATGGTTATGTCACTGGACTCACACACAGTCAACTGCATTTCGAGTCCCAGCAGCTTAAAACTCACACCAGGTTCGTGTATGCGTGTGTGGGCATGCAAAATCACAAGAGAAGAATGGAGAAGGGATTGTAGCCTGGCCATCCTCCCTGGGGTGGTGGTGATGGTGGCGGCGGTGGTGGTGGTGGTGAATTCTCGCTTTCTGTTGCCTCTTGCAAGTGCACACGTACAATAGCAAAAATCTCTTAAAAAATAGGTAAGTTTGATATAAAAGAGAGTCAATTTAAAGAGAAACACTGAATCAGCTGTATGATCTGATGGTTAAGGCCGCCATATTCCACAAGGCTGACTGTGCAGTTCAAGTCCAAAACAAAGCATCTTAGCAAATATGTCAGGCATATGAGTGTGTATACCCCAAAATCTGAAGTGGGGGGAAAGATGGAGGAGGAGGGATCACAATGTGACTGTTCCCCTTAGGGGGACGCTTTCTCCCCTTCCTCTCTCTTGGGCATGCATACACCCTCTAGTAATAAATAAGTAATGAGAAACATTAATGTGGCATAGATGATAAATCGATCTGACAGTGTTGTGAAGGTCTAATGTGAATGACTGAATTTGGGGAAGCACTGCTATAGGTTCTATGTACAATAGTGATTGTACATACTATTGTACATACATAAAACAGTGATTCACTAATATCAGGCATTCTGCTAAGTAACTTGCATACAGTATTTCATTTGATCCTTACAATAATATATTAAATTATTACTAAGCAGATGTGGAAGCAAAAAAGATATTTGCAACATCAAGTTCATGTTCCTTACATTCACATACCCTGGCATTCCATATATCCATGAATAGTGACCTACCATTCTGACTAACATTTAACTAGTCCCTAGACCTAGGAGCACAAGAAATGACAAAACATACTTTTGCTAGAACAGTCTCCTCTGGTCCTATCTGCTTGTCAAATGGTCCAATGCTGAAAACCATACCAGTGATGGCTCACAAATATGCTTGAATCCCAAGCATGACTGAGATTTAAAAACATAGGAGCCAATGGCTTACCAAATTACACTTTCATCTGACTATGGGACAAAGAAATTTAAAGAATTAAATTTTATTAAGTTTAAGAAAAGAAGTAAATATTCCTGTATACATTGTGAAACAATTCTGTATTTTGCAAAGTTGGGAAATATGTACCTGAATTCATTTAGGGCATCAACTATTCGATTATATGCCAAACTCCTATGACTGGCATCAGCTGATCTTCGGCTCATTTTCATAGCCTAAAAACAATCATTAAGGAGTTAATTTTTAAACTAATCACTGGTAAACCATGAGCAAAAAAAAAAACAAGAAAAAGATAAAGGGATATATTAACACAACACTACATTTTTATCTATTGATAGAAGAAAATAAAGTATATATATTTACAGTAACTTTTTCTTCTGCCATTTTGGCCATTAACGATTTTAACATTTTTATTTTTAAATTACATTTCAGATCTCAAAATGCAACATAGACTTCAACATAATTGTAAAGATGCTCAGAAATAAAATCCATGCCTTTTATTTTTAAAAAGTGACCATGAGCTTAGGCAGTGGGACAGCTTTATAATATAACGGGGACCCACATGAGACTGGGTTTGCTTCCCAGGACCGCTCTGGGCACACTGCAAGACTGTGAGCACATGTCCCCATGATCTGAGTCGATGAGACTGGGGGTAGATTGCACCATAAGACTCTACTGGGGACATCTCTCTCTCTCCCTGTTTTGTGCTCTCTCTCTCTCATAGAAAAAATACTGATAGACAAACTTTAAACATACTACCAGATTAATCTTCCTAAAGCACAATTTTTATACAGCTTTAAAAGCAAAGCCAAAACTCCCTGGCAAGCATCCTAAATTCTTTGTAATTATATCCCCATTAACTATGCCTGTCATGCCACTCACCACTCCTATTAATGTCCTTTCCCTTCCATGTACTATCACAAGGATTAAGAATTTTGGTTATAGCCACCGTTTCATTTGTTGAACTGCTGAAAATTTCCTCTAAAAAGTAATATGGAAAATCTTCCAAGATTTTGACTATGGGGTGGCAATAATTATGATAAAGTGTAAATGGCCTAATATGAAAATTGTTAAATTGAGGAAACCCACTTAAATATACTTAAGAATGATTTACAACATGAGACATGTATGTTACAACTATGAGCTTTTTTTAATATGAGCAGCTAATTTAAAAAATATGAATGTATGGAGTCAGTAGATGGAGTGGAGGTTAAGGTGGCTGGACCCCACATGGTTGACTCCATAGTTCAAGTCCTGAACCCAGTCGCTTGAAACATCACACCAGGCATGTGTGCATGTGTGCTCAAATCCCAAGAAGACAATGAAGGTCAAAGATGGGGGTGTGACCATCCTTCCTTGGGAATGATTTCTCACTTTCTCTATCTCTGGCAAAATACATGCAACCTATAAAAAAAATGTAATATAATCCATCAAATAAAAATACTATATGCATAGAAGAGGCCTGGATAAGAATTTCAGCAAAATGTCAGAATTTCCTTTGGATGGCAAGGACATCAATTTTCTTGCTATATCTAATATACAAAGCTTTACGTTTAAAAATCCTACACACTCTTCAAGACTATCCGAATGAAACTTCTTCCCAAAAGGAAGTCATTTTTCTTTCCTACAAACTCCTAAAAAATGTTGCCTATCGTTATTTTTTAGATTAAAAAAAATACTTAGGTTCTATCTTATATTTCACAATGTTTCTTACACATTTTATTATATACACTATCAACAGCACTTGACAAAAATCAATCACTCCCTCCTTCTTGAAACTCTTCACTTGGCTACCCCAAAAAACTATTCTTAGTTCTTCCCCCTAATGGAATAACCAATTACTTACTGTCTCTTCTGATATCTTATCAAACTAAAACTGTTAAAATTGTTCTACAACTCAGGGCTAGGATTTTCTTTTCTCTCCCTTTCTCAGTTTCATGGCTTTAAATAACTGTCTTTACACTGACATCTCTCCTAAACTCCAGGCTCTAAAAACACTTGGAAGTCCAGAAGCCATTTCAAAAAACTTCTGATCTTCTTCTATTCAAACCTGTTACATCTACAGTATTTCCCACTTCAGCATGGGTAACTTTGTCCCTCTAACTTTTTAACGGAAAAAGCTTTCAGAATCAACTTCGAATATTCCTTCTTTCATACCCCAATTCAGTCTATCAGCTAATGTCATTGACTCTATTTTCAAAATAGTCCCAGAATCCAATCACTTCACACCAGTTCTGTTACTAAATTGGCTCAAGTGTTCACCAACTCTCACCTAGATTATTGCAGTAGCCTCCTAACTGGCTCCACAACACCCACTTCTGCTCCTAGAGATCTATTCTCTATTAACAGTAACAGTGATCCTCATGCTTCCATTCCAAACCCTCCAATAGTTTTCCTTCTTTCTCAATAGTAAATGCCCATGCTCTTATAATGGTACCCTGAAGGCCTTATATAATATAGTATCACTTCAACCCAGCCACTTGCATTGCTTAAACGTCAGGTTTACTCCTGTCATAGGACCTTTGTCCCTGTCTGAAACATTTTCTCCCAGACAGTTGTAGCTCACATATTCCATATCTCCGGATCATATGTTATTTTATCAGGGGCCTTTTGACCGAGCCTAGAAAAATACATAGTAATTCCCTCCAGCATTGCTTATGTATCTTTCTCTGTTTTATTTTTCTCTACAACACTTATTACCATCTAAATCATATATATTTGTTTATTTCCTGTTTCATAAGGTCAGGAGTGTTGCTTTTTTCACGACTTCTCTTTAGTTGCCAGAATAGTGCCTACCATGTTATAGGACCCCAAACATGTATTTACTGATTAAATAAATTAATGACCTTAGGTCTTTTATTATACATTAAGCTCATTAAAAAGGGATGAATACTATTTGCATCTCCCAGAACATGCTGTAAGGCAGCTGCACTGTACCTTTTAATACTTCTGCCAAATGAATAAACACAATGTTTAATCAGGACAGTAAGTTTCAAAGAAAAAGATATTTTGTAATATATAAATAAATAACTGCTTACCTGTTCTATTGCACTTTTTAATTTGTTCATGTGGCTTTCAAAGAGAGGAAAATGTGAAAAAAAGAACTCATTAAATTTGTTATTTTCATCTTCATCTTTGGATAATGAAAAGATTACTCCAATTGCAATCTTCTTTTTCCTCACAATTCCTGGGTTTGGGCCACAGCTTTCATCTGATAGATTAAAGCTTTCTTCTATAGACCTTAAAAATAAATGTTTTTTTATTTAAATAAATATATAAATAAATTCGCCATTCAATCATCTTGCTAATTAAATATAGGCAAGCTAAGGCTTCTGTTCCGTTTTTATCAAATAAATATAAAGTTTCATATAAATTATATCTCTCTCTGAGAAATTCACTAACTATTCTTTCATGTTCATGCTTTTATAAGAGATTAAACTAGAAAGTTAGATTGGGAACATTTTTATCCAATTAGAAGTCAACAAAAAACTAGAAAATATCAGGACCAACAGTTGGTGTAATGGCTATGTCGCTGAACTCCCATGTAGTTGACCGTGTTTCGAGTCCCGGACCTGGTGACTTAAACTCATACAGGGTGTGTGTGCATGCCCAAGATCCTGAGAGGAGAATGTAAGAGAAAAGATTACAGCGTGGACATCCCTTCTTGCTTTCTGTCTGTGTCTTTCTGGCAAGCACATGCACCTTACAGCACAAACCTCTCCCCCAAACAAACAAAAAACTAGAAAATATCAATTCATGATCAACCTAAAAATGTCTAAATGTTAAGATATACACGTGAGTTGGTACAATCTCTTCACTGTTCTAGGATCTACTTATCTCTCTTTCTGAGTAAAACAAAAAGACGAAGGAACAGAATGAGTAAAGGAAAACACAAAAAGTTTCAGCTGAACTTAGCATGGACTAAAAAACAAACTTTCAAGAATGAATTAACTTGCCAAACTAGAAACATAAAAAACTGAAATATCAAAACATGCAGTAAAGGAGCCAGCAGGTGCTGTGGTGGTTAAGGGTGCTGGACTCCCACACGGCCAACCATGGTTCATGTATCGGACCTGGCAACTTGCTTTCTCACTTTCTCTCTCAGTCCCTCACTTGTCACATTTTAAATAAATAAATAAATAAAATAAAAATTATTCTTTTCAATTTTTTTTTTAAAGAAACATGTGGTAAATATATGAAAGACCTAAACATAAAACTCTTAGAAGAAAACACAGGGTAAAAGCTTTGAAAATGGTTTCTTAGATATAACACAAACAGCAAAAAGAAAAAGATGAACTGAGGCCAGCCAGCGACATGGTAATTAAGGCGGCTGGACTCCACATGGCCAACTATGTGGTTTGAGTCCCACCAGACCTCAAAAACACACTGGGCATATGTGCATGGGTGCCTAAAATCCCTAAAAAAGGAAGAAATGGAAGAGACTATGGCATGGCCATCTCCCATGGCAGGGGGGGAAACCATCACTCTGCTTCTACCTGGAGAGTGCATATGCCCTCTGATAAATTGTTTTTCAGGTTTTGTGTTAACTTTAGTAATATAACAGGTATAGAAGTAATAACCTGATACTTCACTTTATAATGCATAACAAACTAACCAAACTGGACATGAGAGTACAAATTATAAAACAAATAATTTTACTTACTGTTTTTATGACTTTTCTTTCTCTTAGATTCTGTCTTTCAAATACGACTAAGGTACAGTATACTGGCAAAAATTTAAAAAGGCAAACAAGGGGACCAGTAGATGGCATAGTTGTAACGTGGCTGGACTTTCACATGGCTGATCACAGTTCAAGTCCCAGACATGGTGGTTTCAAACTTACGCTGGGCACATGTGCATGCATACCCAAAATGCCAAGAGGAGAATGGAAAAGGGGATTGTGCTGTGGTCATCCCCCTGGGGGAGAGAGAGGCGATTTCTCACTTTCTGTCTTTCTGTCTCTCCGGTGAGTACATAAGCCCTATTGCAAAATTCTCTCTCTTAAAAAAAAAAAAAAAAGTAAACAAGAATAACACAAAAGCAACAGATACCCAAAATTAAATACCATGTCAGAAAACATCATACAGTAACCATTTATCAGATCAGAGCAGCAGGAAAACTTACATCTAAATCATAATTATTTTAGTGGTATTAATTAACTTTGCCACAGTAACTTCACAGCATCATTCATTTGTGAAGTAGTAAAATTCATGTTGAAAAAGAGAATGGAGGAAATTGGTTTGTTTATCCCAATATATTACCTTTGCAGGGTTTTTTTTGTGTTTTTTTTTTTGAAAGATTTTTTGCTATAGGGCTTGTGGGCTCACTGGAGAAACACAGAGAGAAGGCAAGAAATCACCACGCTGGGTGGATGGCCATGCTGCAATCCCTTATCCATTCTCCTCTTGGGCGTTTGGGCACACATGCACATGCGCCCGGTATGAGTTTCAAGCCGCCAGGTTCAGGACTCTGGTCATCTGAGAATCCAGTGACTTAACCATTATATCATCTACTTGTCCCTACCTTTGCAGTTCTTATTAACATGTCAGCAGCAAAAAACTGAGAAATAATACCTAAGACTAAAGAAACTTGGTTTAAGTTCTGAAACAAATTAAAATGGAAACTATTTGGCTCATCAGAAATATCATGATAGTTTTGCATATAAAAATGTCATTACTTTTCCAACAACCCAATATAAGAAAATGGAACCTCTGTTGAAGTTCTGTTGAAAAACAGTGGTCACAAGGTACAAGGAGTGGAAGAACAGGGAGTTACTGTTGATCAACTACAGAGTTTCAGTTTGGGAAGATGAGAGTTCTGGAGTTGGATGATGATGATGGTTGCACAACAGTGTGAAGGTACTTAATATCACTGAATTGGACACCTAAAAAATGGCTAAAATGGCAAACTGTTACATATAATTTAACACTTAAAAGGAAAAAAAAAACATACATTTTAACTTTTCAGTTCCAGACTTAAAATACACAAAACACAAGTCCAGGCTCCAAAAATCCTTTATAAAATTGTGTTTAAAAATCATTCAATCTGGGGGAACCAGCAGTTAGCGTAAAGGCTAAGTTGCTGGACTCCCACGTAGTCGACCGCAGTTCGCATCCCAGACCCGGTGGCTTAAAACACGCCGGGGGCGTGTGCATGCGTGTCCAAGATCCCGAGAGGAGAATGGAGGAGAAGGGACTGCGGCGTGACCATGCCCCGTGGGGGTGATTTCTCGCTTTCTGTCTCTATGTGTCTCTCTGTCTGTCTGGCGAGCACACACGCCCTATAGTGAAAATCTCTCCAAAAAAAATCATTCAATCTGGGACCAGCAGATAGCATAATGGTTAGATTGCTGGACTTCCACAGAGGTTACCATGGTTTGAGTCTTGAACCCGGTGGCTTAAATTCACGCCAGGCGCACGAGTGCATGTATGCCCAAAGTCCTGAGAGGAGAATGGTGGAGAAGGGATTGTGGCATGGCCACTCCCTCAGGGGGTGACTTCTTGCTCTTTGTTTCTCTCTGACTCTCCAGCAAATGCACACAAAAATCTTTCCAAAATAAAAAGAATTAAGAAAACTATTCAACCTTGTTCTAAGTTTTTATCTCCAACTTACCATCTAGGAAATACCCCATTTTCCAAACTCGTTGTTTGGCTACGTCGCCAACGTCGCTGGTAGCTGCTGGCACAACTTCGGGTAAGTGAAGAATTTGGGGAGGGAAATGGAGTGATAAGCAAGCTGCTGAGAGATGCTGTTAAGTCAGAAGAACAAATATAATGTATAAGTCAATAAGAACTAGGCATAATGACAAATTTCTTTTTATCAAATTTAAGAGTTGAGAGACAAATTTATTTTACTTTATGAGCTTCTATATTTTTCTTAAAAAATACATCATTTGTAGAACAAAGTCTCAGAGGACAAAGATCAGTTTTTAAGAGTTTACTGGCAAAAGACTCTTGACACAATCTGCTTTTGGCATTCCAGCCTACTCAGCCCAAAAGAAAATAATGCTTTGCAATAAGATTAGCACTTTGGAGACCAGCAGGTGGTGTAATAGTTACATCATTAGACTCCCATGTAGTTGACCGCAGTTCAAGTCCCAGACCCAGAGGCTTAAAATTCATGCTGGGCATTTGTATGCGTGTGTGTGCCCAAGATCCCAAGAGGAGAATGGAGAAGGGATTGGGCATGGCCACCCTTGAGGGGTTGATTTTTCTCACTTTCTGTCTGTCTCTGTCTCACCAGTGATTGCACGCGCACTATAGCAAAAAAAAAAAAACCCTCTCCCTCTCTTCCATTCTCCTCCTGTGATCTTGAGTACTCGTGCACACACACACACACACACACACACACACACACACACCTGGCATGATTCTTAAGACACCAGGTCCAGGATTAAAACCATGGTCAGCCATGGAGTCCAGAGATGTAACTGCTATGCCATCTGCTGGCCCCAGAGTTAGGTTTTAAGAACAGAAACTATATTTGGGACCAGCAATTAGCATAATGGCTATGTTGCTGAACTCCCAAGTAGTTGACCATGGTTTGAGTCCCTGACCCACTGGTTTAAACTCACACTGGGCACATGTGCATGCATGCTCAAGATCCCGAGAGGAGAATGGAGGAGAAGGGATTGTGGCGTGGCCATCCCCTCTGGGGGGTGATTTCTCACTTTCTGTCTCTCTGGCCAATGCACATGCCCTATAGCAAAAACCTCTCAAAAAAAAAAAAAAAAAAAAAAAAAAAAAAGAACAGAAGCTATATTTGAAAATAACTGGGGTCAGCCCCATAACAGAGCAGTTGAATCCTATACATAGAAGCTAGATCACACATGGTTCAAAACCTGGCTTCTGAGAGCTTGGAAAAAGCACCAGTGTATAAACCTGTCTCTAATATCCTGACAAGATGAAGAAATGGATGACCATGTGACCATCCCCCATTGAGGTGAAGTGCTTTCTCTCACTCTCTCCAGTAAAAAAAAAAAAAAAATTTAAAAATAAAGTGTTTAAAATGGCCTTTAAAGAAGTCATTTACAAGTACTTGTGGATTACCTGTGCATAGGTGATCAAACCAACCACTTTTAATAAGAGATGTGAGCACATCTACTAAGCTCCAAAAAGAGTACCTGCTATAGATTATTCTGCAATGCCCCAAGATTAATAGACACATTCCAGTAGACTCCATTCTAACTATAACTGCTTCAATTGATCCCCTAACTGTGAGGATTATTCTCATCACAAAACTCTTCACTCTAATATCCCTAAGATTTGGTTTATTGCCTGGGGTACTTGAAGCTAAAATCCTTTATTTTTTCTAGGGTCACGGATCCTTCCTTTCTACCCAGTGGATCTAGAGAAGAAAAGATATATCATTATGTGTGCTTCTGTTAGGCAATATTTAAGGGTTCTATCTTCAGGATTATAGCCACACATTGAAATTTTGTAACAGTAACAGTGTTATGTTTTTCTTTTCTTTTCTTCTTCTTCTTTTTTTTTTTTTTTTTTATTTGCTACAGGTTGCATGAGCTTGCGAGAGAGAGAAAGACATAGAGAGGGAAAATAAGAAAGCATCCCCCAGGGGGTTGGCCACATCACAATCCTTTCTCCTCCTCCATTCTCCTCTTGGGATTTTGAGCATGCACACACACACACATTCTATGTATTTTTCAAGCTGCCATAGCCAGAATGCCATGTGGGATCCAGCCACCTTCACCACTATGCCAACCAGTTGGCCCAAAACATGGTATTACCATACCTGTACAAAGAGGTACGTGCCAAATGATAAATTATCTTGGACCCCAGACCAAAAAACTAGAACACTGTCATCATGGGGATCTAATCATTTAATTAAGACAAATTTATCAATTAGTTCTGTAAAAAAAACTTTGCAGCCTGAGATTGATTATGTACAAGTAATCTAAGTATGGCTTCAGTGAAAAATAAAATGCTACCCTAAATTTGGGTCAAAATACACTTTACTTCATTCTAGTTCTAAAATTAACACTATTGGGGACTGGTAGGTGGCCTGGTGGTTAAGGGGGGTGAACTCCCAAATGGCCAAATGTGGTTTTAGACCTGGACCTGATGGTTTGCTTTCTCACTTTTCCTCTCTCTCTCTCTCTGTTCCTCTCTAGTCAAATTAAAATAAATAAAGTTAAATATACAAATTAATAACACTATTGGGGCCAGTAGATGGCATAGTGGTTATGCACTGGACTCCTACAGGCTGACTATGGTTTGAGTCCTGGACCCAGTGGCTTGAAAATCACACCAGGTGCATGTGCATGTGTGCCCATCAAGATCCCAGGAACAGAATGGAGGAGAAGGGATGGTAGAGTGGCCATTCCCCCTGGGGGAGTGATTTCTCTCTCTCCCTCTCATTGTCTCTGTCTGCCTCTCTCTGAATCCACAGCTCTATGGCAAAAGCTCTAAAAAAAAAATTAATAAATAACACTATTAGTGAGAGTCAGCAGGTGGTGTGGTGGTTAAGGCACAGGATTCCCACATGAGTCCTGGACCTAGTGAGTTGTAAATCACAATGGATGCACCCAAAATCCCAGGAGGAGAACAGAAGAGAAGGGATTTGACCTGGAGGCTGATTTTTCACTTTCCCTCTCACTGTCTCTCTCTGGTGAGCACATGCACCCTACAGCAATAGCCTTAAGAGAAAGAAAGAAAAAAAAGTTAGGAAAAGAAGCACAACTAGCTTAAACGGCATATATGAACTTAATGACTTGAAGGAGCCTTACAGATCAGTCTAGTCAGGCCTCTGATTTAAAAAAGGAAAAAAAAAAGTATAAAGATTAAATTAGCAACTCCCAAATTTTGAATAAAATAGTAAGAATTAAATTTCTACATCAAAAGCCTAAATTCTCTGTATTATATAGAAGCAAAGAGTATTAGGAGAAATACACTCTAGATTTATTTAAAAAACAAAACAAAACAAAAAAACTCTATTAAAAAAAAAAGATGGGGCCAGCATGTGGTATGGTAGTTAAGGGGCTAGACTCCCACATAGCCAGCTGTGGTTCAAGTCCTAGACCTGGTGGCTTGCTTTCTCGCGCGCTCTCAGTCTGGTCATATTAAAATAAATAAATAAAGTTTAAATAAAACGATTTCTTTAAAAAAGAAGGGTGAAATTTTGTGAAAGATGTACACTTTTCCTATTGGAGTACTGGTTCTCAACTTTATCTGTTCATCAGCATTTGGTGTTAAATTTTACATTTTCTTTTGTTTTTCAAATGAAGCCTAAAAGTCTTTCTTTATACTAAGCCAGAGTCTTTGGAAGTAGAATTCATTTGTCTAAAAAAAATTCTGAAACTTCTCCTTGTTATTCTAATGTACGCCTAAGGGTTATTATATATGATAAGGTTATATTTTCTGTATATACTCAAAACTGAATCATAAATTCAGATAGAACTATATATATATATATGCAGATAACACAATGAATTAAATTCTACATATCTAATAGTAATTTAAGCCTAACATTACTCCTCCTTTCACTTATGCTGATCTCTGGGCCCCAACAAACACTTCCTTTTAGCTAAGATGTGTTTCTTCTATGGCCTTTGATTAACTCCTATTTACTTAAGGCACTATTCAAGCATCATCCCTCTATAAAGCAGTGCTGGCACACCGCTCTTTGCCCAGGCTGTTAGTTTTAAAGTTTCTCTAAAACTGTTTGCACAGGGCTATTACTAAACACAGGGCTATTACCAAACACACTACACAATGAGCGATGACGGATGATTTTCCTAACTGTTCTCCCAAGAGACTGTGCACTTCTGTGTTCCTTAAGGGTACAACCTGGGCTTTACCTTTTTTTTTTTCTTAAATTCGAGAACATTTAAGTAAATATGTTAGATATGCATATTTTGAAAGAGTCCATATTTGAAAGAACTGTTATCGATCACATTTATTCAAAATGCCTAAGCTTTCTGGGCAAGAGACCATAAACTCTAGTCAGAAACAGACAAATATAAGCAAATGTGTTTTTTCCTACTATGGTTCCTATGCAGCTTCCTGAGCAATACCTCTGTCTTGTACTGACTAAGTATAAAAGCCAGCCAGCCATCATATCCATCCAGGTCAGACTCCATCAGCAGCATTTAACAGTCAACATGAAAATTTAAGAGATTTCTCTTTCCACAATTCTTTTGTAAACCTAATATCAAAAGGAACAAACTGTATGCATGGAATGAGATGATAAAGGTAGAGATTAAAAAAACAAACAAAACAGTGCCAGCTAATAGTAGTTTCATAAAAAACTGACATTACCAGAGCGTGCTATGCCACTGTCTCTGTCCTCATTCAGCTCTCTTCCAGGCATGTCCATTGGGTTGCTGTGAACTATGAATCAAGATGAAACTGTCAGTTATAAAACATATTGCTATTCAGATAAGTGTTCTTCCTTTTAAACAGCAAACTAAATCATGCTCATTTCATTGCATTCCTTTATTTTTTTCGATAGCATGGCACCAACCCAACACCAAGAGCTATTACTCAGTTGAACAAGCTTTGAGATCTATCTCAATATTTAACATAGAGTATAAAAATAATCTATGACAATATCTAAAGAGGCGAAAGATGACTAAAATCCTTATTTTAGAAGCATACTAAAGATATAGAAAGATATTCACAACATACTACTAAATGAAAACAAGCAAGCTACTGAACAGTATGAATGATAGCTGCTGGGGCTAAGTGAGGGGCATTTCAGTGATTCATCTACTGATTCTGCTTATATGAATGTATGCTTCTAAATTCTCCATAATAAAATTTGAGAAATTAGTTTGAATAGTATGATACCAATTTTATTTTTAAAAGCAGGTACTTCTGGCTGACAAGAAAGTTAATATTATTTTTTGCCTAGTTTTCATATTTCCCAAATTTTCTATAATAAATATGCATTGCTCATATCAATTACTTCCAGGAAAAATAAGTATTACTGAAAACCAGAATAATTAAACTAATACCAATCTGAGAACAATGACAAGTAAATTTGTTCATATTTTGGTCACTTTTTATCAGAAGGTTACAACTGTAGGTAATCTACTAAAATGTGTGAAAATATGGAATATGGTTATAGTTTCGGATACAAAAGCATGAACACATACTCTACAATCATCAATTTAAAGATTAAAAAGAAACAAACTCGTCTATGCCTTTTAAAGAGCATTGTAACAGTGCTTGTTCATCTAAATCTTAGCTCCAAGGAAAAAATTTTATGGAATAGTGTGAATCAGAAATTTTACAATAATACTAAGACAGGATATTTTCTGCAATTGATGAACTATGGTGCAAAAGCTACTTAGCCATGGAAACAAGACAGTGCCACATTAAAAATTCCAAGTGGTAATACAAAACAAAATATGTATACTCAATTTTGGTTTAGGATTCTAAACTTAAAATCATTATGACATAATGACGTAAGACATGACAAACTGAAATTTTATGAAAATGTTAATGTTACTGATAACTCAGTTTCTGGAAACTTGAACACTCTATCAGTGAAAAGAAATTAAATTGTTATAGTCTTTATGCACTGTTTGGTTAATCACAACCCCTCCAATTGCATTTGTCACTTACTCTCTTGTTTCCACAGCTTAACTACAGATGCTAGCCACTGAGGCACACCAACTAGTCTACCCACACAGCACATCGCAAACCTGCAAAGAAAGAGGCGCTCCTGATCAGGCGGAGCGGACCCTGCTCAGAGAACGCCCGCCTAGGGCTGCAGAACTGTGAAAGACCTACATGGCAAAAATGTAAAATACACATGAAAGAGGGCTGTTAGAGAAGCCACAATATGTCATGAAGAAAAGGTGAGCTAAGGCAGCAGAAGAGCAGACCAGGAGATAGGGATGGAAACTTCTAAACTAAATACATGTAATTCAAGCTAGCTTCCCTTTTTTGAAATTTGAAGGCCCACTTTTGACCATGGTTATGTCAAACAACAATTTCTTGCCTATTTACTAATAAATCCATATGTAATAACAAAAATAAGCTTTCATTATTCATAAAAATTATTTTAAATGTTTGATACTTTCTAATCTAAAACAATGTTTTTAAAGCTTCAAAATGTACAGTAACGTTATCTATATTGTTTGGCTTGTGTCAAATAAATCTACCTTTTAAAAAGTCAGTTTTAAGATTATACTGTTCTGTAACTATCGTAAGGAGAAAACCACCTAAGTAACTTTGTACATACTATACAATCAGGCACAAATACAGAAAAGGTTTTTTGGTTTTTGGTTTTTGTTTTCCCAGCACAGAAACTGATTTTTCTAAACCAGTATAAGTTACAAAGTAATGGAAGAAACCAAGGTTCCTAGACCAAGAGCCACCCCCAAAGGCAGAAGAAAACCATAAGAGTCAGACTCCCAGGAATCCAAGAGAAGTGGTTGCCACTTTTTGACACCAAGGGATGTTAACAGCAGCCTGAAGACCCAAAAATGGCATTACAGCCTGGAAGCAAAAAACTGGTTTACCTGTTATGACATCAAAATGGTCTAAAGAGCCATACAGGTAGTTTCCCAAGGATAAAGGGGATTTTTAAAGTAACAACTTCATTTGTCAAATTGCTAATAGATATTATTTTTTTGTAATGAGAATTTCTGGGGGTAGCAGGTGGCATGGTCATTAAGGTGCTAGACTTCCATATGGCCAACTATGGTTCGAATTCTGGACCTGGTGCTTGATAATCATGTGTGTGTGTGTGTGTGTGTGTGTGTGTGTGTGTGTCCTCAAATTCCAAGAGAATGGAGGAGAAGGGATTGCGGCTTGGCTGCCTCTCTCCAGAGGGGCGAGGGGGGAGGGATGATTTCTCACTTTGCTTCTCTCTATGGTGAGCACACACACCCTCTGTCAAAAACCTTAAAAAAAGAAGAAAAACTAATTTCTAGAATTATAGTACATGTGCAGCATTTCTTCTATGTCGCAATAGTCAACTCTTTTCTTAATACTCCCTAGGTTACTTAGTCTAGCTACTGCAAAGCTGACTAAACTCCTTTTAAACTCCTTCCCTCCTTCTTCCTTACTTTCAGCATATGACTTTGTTTCCTGCAGTATGCACCTTCCTATATATGCACAAGTATAGAATGATTCACCTGGTTGGAATTCTCCTTTTCCTACCATTCTACCTCCAAACTTACTAAAATTCTCACCCAAACCTGTCTCTTTTCTGCGTAAGCAGTAATAACAAACATTCAAGCCTTATGATGTGCTGAGTAGCAGTAAAAAACCCTAAGAAAGTCCTTCCTGCTTTCCAAAGTTCATTCTATGGCAATGAGAACCCTACCCTTTATTCTTCAAAATCTTTTCTCTACTAGGCTGGCCCCAAGCACAGTGGTTAAGCCAATGCATAGAAAACCAGATCCCCACATGGTGACCACAGTTCAAATCCTGGGCCCAGTGACCTGAAAAACTATGACTTTGTTTCCTTCAAGTGTGCATGCATACACAAAATCCTTAATGAGATGAAGAAAAGAAGGAAAAAGGGATTATGGTGTGACCACACCCCCATCTGGATGCGCTCTCTCTCTCTCTCTCTCTGATGAATGCAAGTGCCTTCTGGAATATTTTTTTTTTTAAATCTCCCTCTACTAATTATCACATCTTTAATTTCATCGTCCTTATAACTCCCTTTTTCAATCACCATTAAAACATACTCAACTCTTTTCCACCTTTTCTCCATGTATCTAATACTTCAGTACAGCAGTTCTCAAAATGAGGTCCAAGAATTCCTGGGGGTTCCTTTCAGGAAGACTGTGAGACTTTCCTTCTATTGATACATATCTGCATAAGACAGGAATTTCCTGACACATGTCTACCAAAATAATGTAACATAAAAGAGTGAATAAAGGATTATTAATGGGAATCTAGCTGTCTTCTACTAAGCCAGAAATTAAGGAGACCTGCGAAAATGTAAAATAATTCCACTCTTGTTACTAAAACTTATTTTGCCTTTGAAAATAGTTATTTCATGATAGCAGGTGGCATAGTGGTTAATGGTTAAGGTGCTGGACACTCCCTCATGGCTGACCACAGTCTGAGTTCCAGACCCGGTGGCTTGCTTTCTCTCTCTCTCTCTCTCTCTCTGGTCAAATAAAAATAAATGAATGAATAGCTTTTAAAAAAAAGAGTTATTTCACAAAATGTGTTATTTGTGTTACCACAAGAGGGGTTGTTAGTTATTTTTTAATGAATTAGCAAATATTTTACAATTTTCACAGGTTTAATTGCCGATACAATGTAAGTCAATAAATACAGCCACAAAGACGAAAGTTCTCTGGAGCCTTCAATGTCTATGTGTGTAAAGGGATCCTGAGACCAAAAACCAATCTCTACTCAACTCTGGCTTTTCTTCTCTCTGCTGAAACTACTCACCTAGGCCACCAAAAGCCTTACTATAACTTAAAGCACACTTTTTGTCTTGCACTGGGAGAAGTCGTGACACATTTTTGCACAGAAAAAAAACACGTCGTGACTTTTCTGACAACCCAATATGACAATACATCAGTATTTGATGCTGATTATATTACACTGTGAACTTTTTTCACTCATTTCTGTAACACACTCCCTATAAAGCTTTTTCTCTCAGTCTCCTCTGTATGCCTCTCTTCTTTTACCCTTTCTTTAAAGTCAGAATTTCCCAGGGTTCCATCTTCAACCATCTTTCCTTCTCATTCATTACATTTCCTAGGTCATATCTCATCTGTTTCTGTTTTCAATTATCATTATTTGCTGACTGTCAAACAAAGAGTTACACTTTCCCTTCTATAATATAGTCTCTGGGAAGCAACTGCTCAACAAGGAACCATATTTCTCAAATGTCCTTATATGTAGGCAAGGCCTTGTGATTAGTTACCACCAATGGAATAGGAATGACAGAGATGCGTATCACTTTCAAGCCAAGCTGGTTACAAAGTGGTCATTGCTTCTCCCATACTCAATATCTTTCCATTGGTTTGATGCAACTAAGAACTTAGAGCCCACGTGTAGAAGACAGAAAAGCCTGAAGAAGGAAACTGGACCTCTGAAACACTGCTTAGAAGAAAAGTATACACCTCTGAGAAACCACCTTTTCAAATTTACAGGAGTAAGACAAAACTTGGATTATCTTAACACTTTTATTATGTTACAGCAGCTACCACTACAAGACACCTATTGATCCAACCATAATGAATATCTTCCCTTGGATATCCCATTAATACCACCAATTAAACATGCTTGATCCTAAAATCATCAATTCTAATTTCTTCTATTCCTCAGTGGATAGCAGCAATATCCATGCAATTCACATCCAATAGCAAAGAGTCACCCCAATTCACCCTTTTCCTTCACCTCTTCTATCTAGTTACCTAATCCTGTCCATTCTATTTCCCCCAATGAATCTCTCAAAATTCTCTATCCCCACAAACATAATCTAGGTCACCATCATATCATTTGACTATACTGGAAACAGACCAATAGAATATGTACAGGTATATATAAAATATTTATTATGGGAATCAGCTCACAAGATTATGTGTTTATGGCAGCTGAGAAGTCCTACAAAGGGCCACCAGCAAGTTGGAGATCCTGGGATTCTGGTAGTGAAGATCAGACCAGGTCCTAAGGCCTCAGAGGCAGGGAACCTGATGATATAACTTACAGTCTCAGGATAAAAGCCTGAGACCCAGGTGAGGGTGAGGGGATTGGCATGAGTCATGGAGTCCAAAGGCAGACAAGTTCTGACATCTGAGATGAGAAGAAGTCTATCTTACTCTCTCTCTCTTTCTCTCTCTAGAGAGAGAGACCCATTCCTTTTCTACACTTACTCTCCAGGACCCTTGTTTCATGTACACATACATTTAGGGATAATCTTCTACATCTAGGCATCACATTAATCCTTCTGGCAACATGCCTATGGTCACATACAGAGTAATACTTTTCTAGGTGTTTGTTAAGTCTAGTCAAGTTGACACCCCAAAGGAACTATTATACCCTCTCCTTAGTGTTAACTGTACAAAGCATAAATAAGTTCAAATTCCTCAGTGTGGCCCACAGTACCTTTTGTGATCTGGTTCTTTTCAATTCTTTATTTCTTTTCATTTCTTTTACTCCCAAGTTTGCACTCCACTCTGATTTATTCACATTCTTTCCATACTCCCTGATCTTTTGTCCCTAAGTCTGTATACATACCATTGCTTCTGCCTAGGACATTTCTTTCTCCAGCTTCTGGCTAAACCTTCACATTTAAGTCTTATGTTCTCAAAAGTGCTTTTCTTGACTCTCCATAACTGAATTATGTCCTTCTCATTTTTATCACACCCTGTTTTTAACCTTACCCAAGAATTCATTGTAGTATACTATAACTGTTTTACCTTTATAATTCTCACTAACTATAAGTCCACTGAGGCAGGAACCAGAGGTTTGCCACTATGGTAGCTTTTGGGCCTAGCAGAATGCTAGGCATATTACAGGTGCTCAATAAGTATTTGTTGACTGATTGACTAGAAATGTAAAGAAATTAAGAAAATATGTCCAAATAACTTTGTATTACAATTAACAGACTATTAAGAGGGCCAAATAGCAGTGCAGCGATATTACAACACTTTGCGTGGCTGACCTGCATGGGAAGGTTCCAGGCTCATGTTTGGAGACCTTCCTGAATATACACATACAGTGTGCCCATGATCCAGAGCTAGTGAACCTGGGGATAAATTAAGGTATGGGGACCCTGTTGACAATATCCTCTCTCACTCTTTGTCCACCCCTCCCTCTCTCCCATACCCCTTTTCTCTTCTCCCTCTCCTAGAGGAAAAAAATAAAGAAACTTTAAAAGGGGAGCTAAGGTGGGAGAGTGCAAGTAAAAGCTGCTCATTATTTAAAGTCTGTATTTTGTTAAAGGGATTCATTTGCTACTCTACATTTAAACAGAATAAGTGTATTTAACTTCTATATTATAATTTATTTTTTAAGTGATAAATTGTACTCATTTTTATTTGTATTATTAAAATGAATAGCTTTAGAATAAACCCCTTCAGTTTTGGAAAATGTCAAATTATAAACGAAAGTGGTTCAGTTACTTCTACATTTTTACTTTATTAAAATCAGTGAAAGAATCAAATAAAAAAAGTAAAAATATTTTTTATAAAATACACACACATTATAAAATTTTTATATAATTTTTATAAAATACACACACTTAACAGTGTCAATAGCCCACAAGAGTACTTAATAAATGGTTGCTTATTTGAATAAATAAGAATTATAAAAAGCAATTAATAGAATGCAGTATGTCAGCATTTCAGAAAGGTTTACAGGAAAATGGAATTGAAATATGAGTTTATTTTGGTGCAAAAAAAAGAGATATTCACGCGAAGTTTTTCTCTAACATACACTTCCCATAAATTTTTGAAGACCTCCCTATAACTAATAAAATATTCACTGAAATTACTCATAGAAATTCATACTAAACAGGGAATGAGAGAAATATTCATACTATCCTAATTTCTGTCTACTCCCTGAATTACTACAGTCATGGCACATTTTTGAATAGAAAAACATTAAAAAATACATCATGACTTTTCCAATGATGCAATGGTCAGCAATAATTTAGGTGAGGACCCTAGGACAAATGACCAGACATTTTGGAAACATGTTTAAAATGTTGAACTTTGGAATAGACAATGGTATGGCAGTAAAATTAACACTCTGCAAGGCAGACACAGAAAAGGGTTGCAGGTTTGTATCCATAGACCTGCTTGAGTATGCTGGGCAAGCTTGTGCCCATGATCTAGGGCTGGCTGGGGGTGGATCAAGGTACTGAGACCCTATGGGGTACTGTACCACTTACTCTCCTACTCATAGAATAAATTAAAAAAAAAAATTGATCACAACTTTAAAAAATTGAACTTAAACAACAACACTGACTATTAGCTAACCAAATTACTAAATCACTGTTATTCAATAAATTTTTTAAGGAATATTAAATTTTGAATATCTGCTCATCTGAATTATAGGTCACAAAAACAGAATGAGACCATTTTTTAATTACTTTGATAGTTTAGAAAAAGGAAATTGAGAGAGTATAATATAAGTCTTCCTCAGCTGAAATATTCAAAAGGGCTAAAAAGGGCTTTTCATATCAATGACAGTACCTTTCAAAGATGCATCAACTTTAAAAGCAAAAGACAATAAAGAGAAATTAGAAATATCTTCAGTTCTCCTTTTCTGATATATAAAACAAATACTGTGCTCAAATATTTTTTAAAAAATGTTTTCCAAATAATACAAATGTTATATATACTTGCAACTTAAATGCCTTTTCCACTTACAGTATTTTAAATTCTTTGGTCTTAGATCTAAATTATAAAATACCTTCAAACCTTTCCTATACTGTTAATACCTTTTAAATGTATAAAATCAAAGGAGTCATTTACCTATATTTCCAAGTAGTCCATTAATTACTGTGTTATTATCAGCCTTTAATGTATTGCTGTCCTGATTTATGAATTCAAGACTGTCTTGCAACCTAGGGAGGGGAAGAAAGAAACAGATTCCAAATTCATTTGTTTTTTAAAAGGCAACTGTTTGTATATCCCAATGAAATTTAAGTAGACAACAGTTTTGTTTTTGTTTTGTTTTGTTTTGTGTTCATTTTGCTAGAGAGCACTTGCGCTCACATAGAGAGACAGGAAGGGAGAGAGAAAGCACCCTCTAAAGGGCACGGTCACACTGAAATCTCTTCTCTATTTCTCCGTCCTGTCAGGATTTGGGGCACACACGCACGTGCACTGTTTTCAAGTTGTCAGGGCTGGGATTCAAACCATGCAGTCAACCATTTGGGATCTAACTCTGTTAACCACCTGGCCACAAAATAGTTTTCACATATAAGTTTATTAGTACTATAAATCAAAGGGTTGATAAATTACAGCCTAGGGACCAAATCCAGCCTGCTGTCTCTTCTCTTTCTTAAAAAACAATTATTTAACTTATTTATTTTAATTTGACCATCCATGAAAGAGAGGGAGACAAAAAGAGAAGAAAAAGAAAAAGAGAGAGAGAAAAAGAGAAGCAGGGAAAGTGAGAAAGCAAGCCGCCAGGTCTGGGACTTGAACTGTGGTCAGCCATGTGGGAGTCCACGCCTTAATCACCACACCACCTGTCAGTCTCCCTGCTGCCTCTTCTTACGAAATTTTTCTTGTTACCTTGTTTTTGTTCTTGAGAGGCAGGCTCTAGCTATGTTGCTGAGGCTGGACTCTGACTTCTGAGCTTCCTACCTCATCCTTATAACTGGGAATACACACTTATGGTAGGAAATGATTTGTAAACACAAGTTTTATTGGAAAACAGCTGAGCCCATTTGTCTGTGTATCATCTATTGCTGTTTCTATACTACAATGGTAGCACTGAATACCTACAACACACTGCCTGGCTCACAAAGCCAAAAATATATCTAGCCTTTTACAGAAAAAAGTCACTGACCCTGATTTAAACTACAAAGATTTTCTCTCATATTTTGGATCTGAAAATACTTTCTTAACATCTGCCACATAAAAAAAGGAGGAAAAGAGGAGGAAGAGAAGGTACAGGAAAAAGACAGGGAGATGGGGACCAGAGGTGGCTTGGTGGTTAAATAATAATAATAATATTAATAATAATAATAATAATAATAAATAAAAATAGTAATTCTTTAAAAAAATAAAAAAGACAGGGAGATGGAGAAAGAGAAGAAAAATCAACCAAATATCCAAAAACCATCTTTAGTATACATATTAAAAATGGCCAGGCTGGGGGCCAGCAGGTAGTATGACAGTTAAGGTGACAGATTCCCATAAGGCCAACTGCAGTTTGAGTCCTGAATCTGGTGGCTTGAAAATCATGTTGGACACGTGTGCCCAAAATCCTGACAGGAGAAGGGAGGAAATGGGTTTGCAGCGTGGCCATCTCCATAGGGGATGATTCTCTCTGTCCCCCTCTGTCTTTCTCTGACAAGTGCAAGTGACACACTGCAAAAAAAGAAAAAAGAAAAGAAAGAAAAGTTAGACCCATACTTCTGGCCTGTGGTTAAGGGAAGCCATAGCCCACATGGCCGACCATGATCTAATTCCCAGCCTCAGTAGTTTGAAAGGCACAGTGAGTGCCTGTGCATGTATGCCCAGAATCCCATGACAATGAAGAAATGCAAGAGGATGAAGAAATGGAGGAAAAAAGATTGCAATGTAATCATGCCCCATTGCAGAGTGCTAACTCTCCCTTCTCTCTGTTTCTGTTTCTCTCTCTGGCAAGCATGTACCCTCGGGCAACTTAAATAAATTAAAAATTTAAAAATGGCCTCTTACTTTAGTAAATCTTTCAGAGCAAAAATAAAATCACTTTATGCTTTTAGGACAAAGTAACCTTTCTAGAGATTATAAGAATTATTGGTTAGTGGGGACCAGCAGGTGGCGTGGTGGTTAAGGCGCTGGACACTCCCACTTGGTTAACCAGGGTTTGAGTCCTGAATCTGGTGGCTTGCTTTCTCACTTCCTCTCTCTCTCACTCTTACCCTCTGTCTCCCTCTGGTCAAATTTAAAAAAAAAAAAATAATAATAATAATAAATAAAATAAATAATTATTTAGGAAAAAAAGAATGATTGGTTAGACCTTAGAAAAGATAAAAAAACTGAGGTGATTATACCTTAAACCAGTCATTCTAATACAGGACCTTTAATTTCTACTCAAGTATTACACTTTTGAGTTAACATTTTTGGCAGGATCACTCCTGTAGTGCATTAGCTAAAGGCAGAGGAGGTAGGATTCCACATGACCAACTAAGGTTCAAATCCCTACCATGTGCTGGGAACGAGAGCATGTGCTCAGGACCTTGACAGGATGGAGAATTGGAGGAAAAAGTACTACAGCGTAACCAGGCCCTATTGGGAGGTGCTTTCTCCTTCTCTTCTCCCTTCCTCCCCTCCCTCTCCCTATTTCTTCTTACGTGCTTGCTCTGTCAAGAATGAAAGGAAAAAAAAAATTGTTGGCATCAAGATTTTTTTCAAGTTTCCAAAATTTTTAAAGAAAATCCCCTGCTGGGGACCAGCAGTTAGCGTAATGGCTATGTCGCTGGACTCCCAACCGCGGTTTGCATCAATGGACCCAGTGGCTTAAAACTCACGCCGGGCGCGTGTGCAAGCATGCCCAAGATCCCGAGAGGAGAACAGAGGAGAAGGGATTGCGGTGTGGCCATCCCCCCGGGGGGTGATTTCTCGGATTCTGTCTCTGTCTGTCTGGCGAGCGCACGCGCCCTATAGCGAAAAACCTCTCAAAAAAAAAAAAAAAAAGGAAAAGAAAGAAAAGAAAAGAAAAAAGAAAATCTCCCCCTTTCCTTCTCTTCCTAAAAGAAATAAAAAAGAGCTATGGGCATTAGGAATTCGGCTAGTACAACTCCTTATGTCCTCAAAAAAAAAAAAAAAAAACAAACAGAAGTCTTTTTAAGGCATTAGCGATTAAAGGAAGTTCAACAGAATTTCTGTAAATCAGAGTACTACTTACTACTTCCTGATGTGTTAGGCCTTGGCTTATCCCCAGGGACTCTGGTTAGCCAATGAGCCCTATTCTGCTATGGTATCTCTGGGGTCTACTATTGCCTAGTCCTAGTCCAAGTACTTACTTAAGTAGATTTTAGTACATGGACAATGTACCTGACACCTTCCCTCATTTCAGCTTCACTATTCTAATCTTGGCAGCAACAGCTCACACTACTTCTGTAGCTATTATAATATAGTATATATATTATATATTATACCCATACGGCTGACTCAGCCACTCCTATCTACAGGGTTAATTCTACAGGGGATATGAAAACCGAAGCACACAACCCTACAGATGCTAACTCAGCATGGCATTGCAAAACTGAAAATTAACATTATTAACCTAAGACGGAAATGCATTCAACATTTTACTTACAGCTTATAGAGAGCTAAAGAAATGGAAACTACATGTCCTGTTTTTCAACTAAACACCAAGATAATCTGGCCTCCATGAACTTTCAAACTTAAGAAAAGGTATTAAATCTAAATTTGTACTGCAATTCTAAAAGCAGTTTGTTAAGCTTTCATACTTCACACGTCTTTAATACATGTTCCCCTGTATCAACAAGCACTTACGTATTGAGACTTCCACAGATACTGCTACCAGTCCGTGCAGTAAAAACTTTACTGAGCATGAGCTGTGGAGGAGAACTATGAAAAAAAAAGATACTGCTACCAGTCCGTGCAGTAAAAACTTCACTGAGCAGAAGCTGTGGAGGAGAACTATGAAAAAAAAAAGAAGATCAGAGATCAAAACTAAAATACAATGACCTTTTTGGTTTATTATAAATAAAAGTCTCTAAATTATAGGAACTTCACTGAAGAGTTCTAAGAGCTATAAAATGTCTTTATAATAGAAGAATATCATGAATTACCTAACATGTTGAATGTGAGCACAGATCATATGAAATTCTCTCAACTACAAAAAAATTGAATATCTAAAAATATTCATTTACAAGAATCAAAAACTTCTCACCGGATCTGATGAATTTTTAAAGTGGATCCTTTGTAGCTCATGGCTACTGAGCCAAACATCATCTCTCCAAGCATATTGGCATCAGAAGAGCACCGAGAACCCTAAGCAGTAATTACAACATTAACAAAACTGTAGAATCTAAAACTTTATTACTATTTCAAATATTGGTTTTTATTAAAAAGTCCTTTGGCATTTTTACTCTACATTAAACATTTTAATCCTACATTGTATATACTTTTTTGAAACTTGATGTTCTTTATTTTACAATGTCTTGTAAAGCCATATTGTTACACAAAGATTTAATTCATTTCTTCTAGAAGTTCCACAGTATTTTAATGTATAAAAATACCCCAGAGTTGGGGCTAGCAGGTGGCACAGTGATTAAGGTATTGGACTCCCATATGGCAATCTGCAGTTCAAGTCTGGGACCTGGAGGCTCTAAAATCACATCAGGTCCATGTGCATGCATGCCCAAAATACCAGAGAATGGAGAAGAAGGGATTGTGGCATGATCATCCCCTGGGAGTGATTTCTCACTTTCCCTATCACTGTCTCTCTCTCTCTGGCAAACACACACACCCTGTGGCAAAAAAACTAAAACAAAGAAAGAAAGAAAAAAAGAAAATGCTCCAGAGTTTCTCTGCCAATTGTCTTTATAGATGATGAGCAGTTAGGTCACTCCAATGTTTTTACTACTATAAATAATGCTCGGATATGTACTAGCAATCATATATTATACATACGCAATTATTTCTCCTGAACAGATAATAAGCAGAATTCACTGAACATGTAGAAGAATTTTTACTATTCTTGTAGAAAAGAGACCTATTTGGGTTGGTTATTATATCTATTTATACCTATTTTTTGTGTTATTTATTTATTCAGGTTTTTACCATAGGGAACATGTGCTTGCTGGAGAGACAAAGAGAGAGAGAAGGAAAGTGAAAAATCAGCCCCCAGGAGGGGTGGCTATACTGAAATTACCTTCCCCCCATCTCCACTCAGGATTTCGGGCACACATACACACACACATTCACATCCAGTGTAATTTTCAAGCTGCTGGTTCTGGGACTCAAACCAAGGTCACTGATGTGGAAGTCCAGTGTCTTTAGCACCACGCAACCTACTGATCCCTATTTTGTGTTTCTTTGTGTTTTTAAAGACTAATTTCTAATCTACAGATTCAATATAATCCCTATCAAAATCCTAGTGGTATTTTTTTTAAGAAAATAAAAAAACATTCTAAAATTCATATGAAAGCACAAAAGATCACAAATATCCAAATCAACCTTGAGAAAGAAAAACCAAGTTGGACATATCACACTTTCTGACTTCAGATTACATTACAAAGCTACAATAATCAAAACAGGTATTAAGAATAAATAAAAAGGCAGTCTCTTCAACAAATGCTTTTGGAAAAACTGAATATCCACATGCAAAAGAATGAAACAGGATCTTTAACATCATACACAAAAATTAACTCACAGTAGATCAAAGACTTAAATGTAAGATCCAAAACTATAAAATCCTAGAAGAAAACACAAGGTTTTGAAAGCTTCATAACATTGGTTTTGGCAGTAACTTTATAAATATGACCAAAAGCACAAGAAACAAAAGAAAAATTAAAAAGAAAGAAAGAAAACCACGACTACATCGAAGTGGACAAGCTTCTGTACAGCAAAGGAAACAATCAAGAGGGTGAAATAGCAACCTATGGAATAGAAGAAAATATTTGCAAACCAAATATCTGACTGGAGTATAATCTCCAAAATATTTGAGGAACTCCTTCCCTACAACTCTATAGTAAAAAAACTTAATAATCCAACTTTAAGAAGGACTAAGAACTCTAGCAGACATTTCTCCAAAGAAGAGACACAAATGACCAACAGGTATGTGAAAAAATTCTCAGTGTTATTAACATTAGAAAAGTGCTTTCTCAACTCTCTCCACTCCTTACCCCCAGTGAGCACACACTCCTTTATTATTTTTTAAAAATTATTAATAAATAATAAATTAATTAATAATTAAGGAAAAAACAATGAGATACACCTGTCAGGCTGGCTACTATTAAAAAAATGTCAGCAAGATGTAGAGAAATTGGAAACCTTGCACATTGTTGGTGAGAATGCAAAATGGTACATCTGTTAAAAAAAAAAAGCATTACCAATTCCTCTAAAAATTAAAAATAGAATTACCATATGATCTAGCAATCATAATTGCTGAGCATTTATGCAAAAGAACTGACAACAGGGTTTCTTTTCTGAAATATTTTATTTAACTTTATTTATTTATTTATTTATTTACTTATTTATTTTTAATTTGACCAGAGAGACAGCAAGAACAAAAGAATGAGAGAGAGAGAAAAAATGAGAAAGCAAGCTGCCGGGCCTGGGACTTAAACCACAGTTGGCTATGTGGGAGTTCAGCATCCTTAACTACCACACCACCTGCAGGCCCCCTCAGATCAAGATTTCAAAGAGACACTAATATACCTATGTTCATTTCAACACTATTCACAACAAACATGATGTGGAAACAACTCTAAATGTCCACTGGAAGACTAATGGATTGGGAAAATGTGGTAGCGTCATACCACATAATGTTTTGGTCAACAAAGAACTGCATTTACAACAGTGGTCACTTAGATTATGCCATATAGCCTAGATGCGTATTAGGCTACACATTAAATTATGCTCTATGATGTTTGCATGACAACGAAATCATCTAACTATGCATTTCTCAAAACACACTCCCCTGTTACGTAACATAAGCCTATGAATACATACAATGAAATACCACTCGGCCTTTAAAAAGAAGGAAATTCTGCAATATGTGACAACATTGTTAAATCTCTAAGAGAGGTTTTTGCTATAGGGTGCACGTACTCTCCACAGAAATGGAGCCAGAAAGTGAGAAAACACCCCCCAGCAGGGATAGCCACACTGCAATCCCTTCTCCATTCTCCTCTCAGCATTTTGGGCATGCACATACACAAGTGCCTGGCATGAGTTTTAAGCCACTGGGTACAGGACTCAAATCATGGACTACTTCAAAGGAACCCAATGACAAAAACATTACGCCATCTGCTGTTCCCTATACTGTTAAATCTTAAGAACATAATGATAAATAAAATAAACCAGTCACAGAAAGACAAATCCTATAATATTCTACTTAAAAAGAGATCTCCAAAACAATCACAAAATCTTAGACACAAAGAATAGAATGCTGGTTAGGGTTTTGAGGTGGGTAGAGAGAAATGAGGAGTTACAAATCAAGTGATATTAAGTTTCAATAAAACAATTCAAATAAGTTCTAGAGTTTTGCTGTACAACACTACAAATAGTCAACAATATTGTGCAACCAAAAATTTAAGAGGATATAGTAAGTGTCCTTTCCACAACAATAATAAAAAAATTATTCAAAACATTAGAATGTCTTTTTTTCTTTTCTTTCTATTTTTTAAAGTTTCAACTTAGTATTTATTGCACACTCACTGTAGTCAACTGTTGAGCAATCAAAATGCAAGCTTGGTAACACACAACAACTTCACTTTCATGGACTGTAGAGATATTCCAATTGTATAAAACAATTTTGTGGAAACATAGGAGAGAATAATAATTTGGGTTGGGGGAAAAAGGACACTAAAGGGTTATAGATATTTTGCAGAAGCAAAAAGCTCAGAGGCTTGAAAATATGGTCAGGCTTTAAAATCTCACATTTCACCTAATAACCATAGTAGCCCTTAGTCATCATGCTCTCAGCCATTTTTTACCAGGACCTCCATTTCTATTTTTGTCATGTGATATTTGGAGCTCCCTCAACTCCTACTAGTGTAGTTCATTTGTCTTCCTATCTCCTACAACTGAACTTTTCTAGGGGAACAATTTAGCTATTTCAAAAGCATGAAAGGTCCAATTTTATTCATAGGAATTGATACTAAGGACAATGGGGATGCTTTCAAAAAAAGATTTTTTTTGGAGAGGTTTTCGCTATAGGGCGCGTGCGCTTGCCAGACAGAGAGAGACATAGAGACAGAAAGCGAGAAATCACCCCCTGGGGGGATGGCCATGCCGCAATCCCTTCTCCTCCATTCTCCTCTTGGGATCTCGGGCACGCACGCACACGTGCCCGGCATGAGTTTTAAGCCACCGGGTCCAGGACGCAAACCGCGGTCGACTATGTAGGAGTCCCGCAACATAGCCATTACGCTAACTGCTGGTCCCCAAAATCTTAAATTATTAACTCCTATTAGGAAAAAATTCTAAATACAATGCTTAGGAACTGAGATCTGTTGGGTATTTTAAAGTAATCAATAAGAAATTATTAAGCAATTAAAATTCGTTTTTCAAGGAATATTTAATAATATGGTAAATAACATATGCTTATCATGTAATTTTATGTCACTTTAGCTGAAAGCAAGCATGCTGTTCACTGGGTAAAAAGGAGTTGGTTTGTTTATACTTCAGTGCAATTTTTAAAAATACTGTAATTATTCATTTCGCAACTCCAGAATTTGAATAGATGCCATAAAAATGTTCTCGTTTTTTATCATATGGGAAAGGAAAATTCCTTTGAATATTATTTGAAGCCTGGACAAAAGTCCGATAGCCATATTCCTCCAGATCACTCTGTAGAGTCTTAAAAATTGTGAAGAGACAGGGAAGCTTTAATTTAGCCTTTTAGAGAAGACATTCCAGCTTGCATGATCCATCAACAGGAGAATGTTGATGGCAATCACAGTGCAAGAGTGAAGAAGTTGTTTCTTTACACGATAGTTATCCCAATATGTCTACTTCTGCTGCTAACATTGGCTCACCTGTGTTCAAGTCTACACATACAAGTTGACCTGATTCTGAATGTTCTGCTTGAATTGTTTTTTTTTTAGAGGTTTTTGCTATAGGGCGCGTGCGCTCGCCAGACAGACAGAGAGAGAGAGAGAGAGACAGAAAGTGAGAAATCACCCCCAGGGGAGATGGCCACGCTGCAATCCCTTCTCCTCCATTCTCCTCTCGGGATCTTGGGCACGCACGCACACGCGCCCAGCATGAGTTTTAAGCCACCGGGTCCAGGACGGGAACCGCGGTCGACTACGTGGGAGTCC